CACAATTGCGTTGACCTCCACGTGTGCACATACGTGTTTTCCATGTGTACACAGAGGTGTGTGACAAGTCAGCGCAGAAGTCTCTTCTGGTTAAACATGTTTGTGTGATCCAGGTCCCCAGGTCCGCACGTGAACACAAATGCCAGTTCCAAGTGAGCGCATGTATGGGCTCCAGGTGAACACAAATGTATGTTGCAAGTGAACAGAAATGTGCTTTCCAGACATACACACATATGTGTTCCAGGTGTACGCATGTGTGTGTGCGTGTGTTCCGGGTGTGCATATATGTGTGTGTGTGTCTGCGTGTGCACATATGTGTGTTCCACGTGTACACATATGATATGCGTTCACATGTACACATGTGTGTGTTGCACGTGTACACATTTGTGTGTTCATGTGTGCGCACATGTGCGTTCCAACTGGACACGTGTATGTGTTCCAGGAGAACACATGTTTTTGTCAGATGAACACGTGTCTGCTCCGGCATGCGCATGTATGTGTGTTCACGTGTACGCATATGTGTGTCCTACGTGTACACATTTGTGTGTTCACTTGTGCACACATGTGCGTTCCAACTGGACGCGTGTTTGTGTTCCAGGAGAACACATGTGTGTTATCAGATGAACGCCTGTGTGTGTGGGCCTGCTCCGCGTGCACATGTATGCGTTTTCATTTGTACACATATGTGTGTTCCACGTGTACACATTTGTGTGTTCACGTGTGCACACAGGTGTTTTCCAATTGGGCACGTGTTTGTGTTTCAGGTGGGTACATGTTTGTTCTCAGATGAACGCACGTGAGTGTGTTCCAACTAGACACGTGTTTGTGTTCCAGGTGAACATATGTTTGTTTTCAGATAAACACTCGTGTGCGTGTTCCACGTGTACACATATGTGTGTTCACGTGTGCGCACATGTGCGTTCCATCTGGACACGTGTATGTGTTCAGGGGAACACATGTTTGTTGTCAGATGAACACGTGTCTGCTCCGACATGCACATGTATGTGTGTTCGCGTGTGCGCATATGTGTGTCCCACGTGTACACATTTGTGTGGTCACTTGTGCACACAGCACATTTGTTTTTGTGTTTTCACGTGTGCACATATGTGTGTTCACGTGTACACCATATGTGTGTTCCACGTACGCACATGTGTGTTCCACTTGGACACGTGTTTGTGTTCTAGGCGGACGGATGTGTGTTCCACGTGAACACATTACCATGTGCTAGCTAAACTTTTTCTTTGTCTGACGACATATTTGCTCTCCAGGTGTGCACATGTATGTGCTCCAGAAAACGCAAGATTGGTTTCGAGGTGCGCACATGTGTGTGTGCGCTTTAGGTCTGCTCACGTGTGCACATATGTACGTTGCACGATGTGCACACATGTGTGCTTTAATCGTGCACGCGGTGTTCCTGGACACATATTTCTGTCCCAGCGCTGTACATATGTGTCCCACATGTACACACATGTGTGCTTTAGTTGCACGTGTTTGTGTTCCAGGTGAACACACGTGTGTTCCACGTGTACACACATGCGTGTCTGAATTGGACACGCGTTTCATTGGGTTCCAAGTGAACACATTTGTGTTCCACGTGAACACATTAGCGTGTCGTAGGTGAACACATATGTGTGTTCCAGGTGTAAAAATGTGTGTGTGCTTCACAAGAAGGACACGGTGGTCTTCCTGCTCAGCACATGTGTGCGTGTGCCGCGTGTACTGTGTGAGTCGTATACATATGTGTGTTCCACACGTACACACACACCACGTGCTTGCGCAGCCACACTTGCGTTCACGTGCGCGCGCTCGCCCGCAATCGCACGCGCTGGCCCAACCTCAGGTCCTGCGCGGTGCTGAAGCGCGAAGCACGCCAGCAACACACGTGCAGCAACAACGGGTTCACGACTGCATCCCTGTTGAAGCGCAGAAGGCCACAAGCTGTTGGCATGTTTGTGCTTGCCCGTCAGTCCTCAACTGCTTGGGGTCTCTGCTGGTGTAGTTGGTAACACGGCTTCTTGGAGCCCGGTGTAACACGGCTGGGGTGTTGCAAAAACGATCACCAGGGACAAAAAAGTGTGTTTGGGAGGAACCGAAGACAAAACGCTGCCTGCGAAAGCAATCATTCTGCGCTGGCACTGGTCAAAAGGTTGCAATGTTTTTGCTGGCCTGCGCACGGGCTCCAAGTTTTTCCACGTCATTAACGTTCTCTGAACATCACGGTTCTCAACATTCGCTTTTTCCATGTCATTGAAAGTCTCTGTCGGTCACGATTCTTACTGCTTGCTTTTTCCACGTTGGTAAGGTCTCCCGTCACGCTTCTCAAAAGTCGCTTGGTTGCAAATCACTGTCCGCTTTTTCCGCGTTGTTCAAGTTCTCTGTCTGTCACGGTTCTCAACGGTCGCTTTTGCCATGTGATTGAAAGTCTCTGTCCGTCATGGTTCTTACTGGTCGCTTTGTTGACGTCGTTAAAGCTTTCTGTCCGTCACGGTTCTCACCGATCGCTTTCTGCCATGGCTTTGAAAGTCGTCAACGCTCTCTGTCCGTCACGGTTCTCAACGGTCACTCTCTCATGTCTTTGAAAGGCACTGTCCGTCGCAGTTCTTACTGATCTGTCCGTCACGGTTCTTACTGGTCTCTTTTTGCACGTCGCTAAAGTTCTCTGTCCGTCGCATTTCTCTCAACCGAGGAAACCTCACCGACGTGGAAAAAGCGACCAGTACGAACCGTGACAGGCAGAAACTTTGAAAGACATTGCAAAAGCGAACTTTGAGAACCGTGACGCGCCGAGAACTTTAACGACGTGAACACAGCGACCAATAAGCACCGTGACGGACACATACTTTGACATTGCATGGAGAAAGCGAACGTTGAGAACCGTGTCGGACAGAGAGTTTCAACTGCATGGAAAAGGCAACTCCTGAGAACTGGGCGGAAGGGTTATTTTTTCCTAGGTTCGTCGCAGCCATGTTTTTCCTCGGTTCGACGCTGTGGTCGGGATTCAGAAAAGCTGCAAAGGGTTTCCTTTCTCCAAAACGCAGCAAAGTCCGCAGACGGCTCACTTGTTCAAAGACGCAGGGTTGGTTTAGGGCGGCTTGCGGTTGGTTTAGGGCGGTTCTCAGCGGTCGCTTCTTCATGTTTTTGACAGTCGCTGTCCGCTTTTTCCACGTCGTTAAAGCTCTCTGTCCGTCGCCTTCGCCGTGGCTTTGAAAGTCTGTGTCCGTCACGGTTCTCAACGGTCGCTTTTTTCATGTCTTTGAAAGTATCTGTCTGTTGTGGTTCTTTCTGGCCGCGTCGCAGTTCTCAACGGTCGCGTTTGCCATGTCATTGCAAGTCTCTGTCCGCCATGGTTCTTACTGGTTGCTTCTTCCATGTCGTTGAAGTTCTCTGTCTGTCATGGTTCTCAACGGTCACGTCTTCATCTCTTAGGAAGGCTCTGTCCGTCACGGTTATCAGCAGTCGCTTTTTCATGTTTTTGAAAGCCACTGTGTCCACGGCCATGTCTTGAAAGTCTCTGTCCGTTACGGTTACTGCCACGGCGGTAGAGTTCCCTGTCACGGTTCTCAGTGGTCGCTCTTGCCATGTTATTGAAACTCTCTGTCCGTCACGGTTCTTACTGGTGGCTTTTTCCACGTCGTTGAAGTTTTTTGTCTGTCGTGGTTCTGAACAGTCACTTTTTCATGTCTTTGAAAGGCTCTGTCCGTCACGGTTCTTACTGGTCGCTGTGTCCATGTCGTTAAAAAGTTCTCTGTCCGTGACGGTCCTCAACCGTCGCCCTTTCCAGGTCTTTGACAGTCTGTGTCCGTCATGGTTTTTACTGGTCGCTTTTTCCAGGTCGGTAACGTTCTCCGCTTTTTCTTTGGTCCGTCACGGTTCTTACTGGTCGCTTTTTCCACGATGTGAAAGCCCTCTGTCCGTCACAGTTCTCAACAGTCGCTTTTGCCATGGCTTAGAAAGTCGGTTCTGAACGGTCGCCTTCTTCATGTCTTTGAAAGTCTGTTTACTGGTCACGCTTTCCGCGGCGGTGCGGTTTCCTGCCGTTCTCAACAATCTTTTTTCCATGTCTTTGAAAGTCTCTGTCCGTCACGGTTCTTACTGGCTGCGTGTTCAAAATTCGCACCGTGCCACAGCCACAGGGATCTGATGCGCCCAAGCGCGCAAAGCGTTCACCAACCATAACCAACTGTTTTGGAAATTGCATGGACCATGGCCCACCATGTTGCGATAGCCTGCGCTGCACACGGGAATCTAATAAGGGAACTGTTGCGCGAGCCTGCGCAACCGAAAAGCGCTGGCCAGATCTCCCCCCAGCACTTCGTGCTGGCCCACGCAATCGAAATGCGTTTCAAAATTTAGTAAGTCACGATTGTGTGTAAACACCACGGAAAAAGGCCTAGTCAGAGCGAGCGCGCTGATCCAACCCCGGCACTGCGCCCTTTCCATAAGAACACCGTAGTGTTTATGCCGCCTCATGCTGCCACGCGTTGTCATCGCAGCGCAAAGAGGTTTTGAAGCCTGCTCAAGTGGAGTTTGCTTTTAAGCACCTCCGGCCACTGCGCCGCCAGCACATCCATAGGCCCCTATCGTGAGGACGGCTGCGCGCCCAACAAGCCAGCGCTCTCCCTTTTTCTCCCTCTCTCTCTCTCTCTCTCACTCTCTCGCTCCCTCTCTCGCTCTCTCGCTCTCTCGCTCTCTCCCTCTCTCGCTCTATCTCGCTCTTTCTCGCTCTTTCTCGCTCTCTCGCTCTCTCGCTCTCTCTCTCCCTCTCTCCGTCTCTCCCTCGCTCTCTGAACGTTCGGAAAACGAAATGTCGAAGTGTTCGGATCAAAAGCGACTTGCCGAAAGTTCATCACTTTTTCAAGGTTTGGGTTCCGGAATTGCTATTATCCTGCAAAGAAGCTTGAACCAAAACCGCCAGGTTTGCCGAAAGCCCGGGGAAGCCAACAACATTTGACGCTCAGATACGCATTTTCGCCTTGCCGGGACAACGCTGCAGTCACGGCTTAGCTCATGCCAGCGCTCGCATTTTGCAGCAGCGGCGTAATCTCGGTTGAAGACCTGGCTGCCGCTGCATGACTGGCATGCGCATGTGCAGTTCAAGTGGATGTGAACCCAGTGGTTTATTTGAGTGCGCCTTTGTTCGTTGGACCCCGAGAAAAATAAGCACCCCCCTCCGCCATCTAAACAGTAAAATTCTCGAAATTGTTTCTTCAAGCACGTGCGCAGGGAGTAGTTGCCCTTGCGCTTGATGAAGACCAGCACCTTGAAAAAGTGTCTCTTGGGCGGCGCTTTGTTGAGACTTCGCGCGTCGTTGCGGAACCACGCGAAGACGTGCTCTGCAGCAGACGCGTTGGTCTTCTTGAACCTGCGGCCCAAACGCTTGACGAAGTTCGGGTTGCATCGGCAACTCTTCCGACGCGCTTTGGCATGGAAGTAGTCTACCGACCAGTACTTGATCTGCCTGAAGTTTGTAGCTTGGCAGGGTCTTCGATAGCGTCTGTTCCATGACGGCATTGCCTTCCGGCTTGTCCATGCGCGCCACGACCACTACCGTGTCCATATGGCTTCTGCGACCATTGGAGCGAGGCTTACCGGCATAGTTGCCTGACCCCATACACTTGACGTGCGCCTTGGCCATGTCCATCCGCCACTCCTGCGGGGAAAACTCCTTCTCATGAAGGTAGGTGTCCAGTGCTTCGTTGCCACTCTCGTTGCCGATGATGATAGTGCCGTGGAACCCCAAAGGTGCGAGCTCTTGCAGCGCCAGCCAAGACGCAATGCCATCGGCGTGACGCTTGCGGAATTGACACGAAGAGTCCGTGAGGTCCACATCGAAAACGCTCTGGCGCACGTCCTGGGCGGCCCGGGAAGACGCAAACGCCCGAAACTCCAACACACTGCCGTACTTCAGTTACTGCGCGGTGAAGCCAGTCTTGTTGCTGACAAACAAGACCTCCGAGATGTCCTCCGGCGAGGCAGTGTTGACTTTGTTCCCGGCGTCTACGTACGTCTACGTAGAAGTTGGGCGACATGGAAAGGCTCTGCAGCGATGCGTCTGTAGCTGAACATGGGTAGCTCCACAAACACAAACGCCGATCCCTGAGAGGGTCTCATTGTCTGTTGCAGATTGCGCTTGGTCCCACCGCGCCGCCTTAAGATACTAGTTTTAAGAAAGCGTACAATTTTCCTCGTGCAAGTCATGCTCGTGCAAGATCGCTACGCATTTCATTGTGTACTTTCACCGTGCATGCCTCTACGTGTTTCGCTGTCTACTTACTTTCCCTGTGCATGCCTCTATGCACTACACTGCCCCCTTTCCCTGCGCATGCCTCTATGCATTTTATTGGATACTTTTCTTGCGCATTCATGTTTGCACTTGCCTCGCTACTTGCCCTATGCCTCTATGCATTTCACAGTCTACTCTGTGCACGCCTCTACGCATTTTGCTGTCTACTTTCCCTGCGCATGCATCTATGCACTTTGCTCTGCGCTTGCTCTACGCGTGCCTCTTTGCGTTCCACTGTCTACTCTACGCATGCCTCCATGCATTTCGCTGCCTACTTTCCCGGCGCATGCGTCTACGCACTTCACTCTGTACTTGCCCTGCGCATGCCTCTATGCATTTCACTGTCTACTCTGTGCATGCCTCTATGCGTGTCACTTGCTACTTTCCCTGCGCATGCGTCTATGCGTTTCACTGTCTACTTTTCCCGCGCATGCCTCTATGCATCACACGGTCTACTTTCCCTGCGCGTGCCTCTATGCATCGCACGGTCTACTTTCCCTGTGCATGCCTCTATGCATTTCACTGTCTACTTTCCGCGTGCGTGCATCTGTGCACTTCACTGTGTACTTGCCTTCTGCGCACCTCTATGCATTTGACTGTCGACTTTCCCTGCGCATGCCTCTATGCGTTTCACTGTCTACTTGCCCTGTGCAGTTGAGCTGTGCTGAACGAATTATTCGTCGATTTTTTGAAAATTCGAGGTTTTTGCTTTTTGCTAGTGTAAAAATAGTGAGATTCAATAAACAAAAACAAAGTTTTCAAGCCATATGTCAGATCAGACATGCCTGGGTCATAGGGTCTGACAATCTTTTTTTCCCGAAAGCATTGCGATAGGGTCTGACATGTTCCTTGGAGAACTCGAGGTGTTTTTGCGTATTGACCCTATCTGCAAAGCACAGGCCCCATGACGACCCTTCTGTAAAATACATCCAAACTAGTTTTTAATGATAACAACAAAATAGAAACTACTTCTGAAAATAAGTATGGCTAAACATTGCGTGGACTTCTAAATAAGAAAGGTTCGAAATCAAACTTGTTAGGGGGTGTTTCCAAATGGACGTCTCAAGGGAAGAGAGGTTCAATTTCTAAAACTATCTTGAACCAGCTACATTACCTGCATTTAAATCTATTTGGGCAGGAAACCATAACTCATTCTATCTCAAAAGGCAGAGGTAGTAGATGAGCAGAGGTGGACAAGTAGTTCAGGCGGAGGGGTGTGAACATACATATGCAGACACACTCTCACATACATACACCCTCATGATCCTACGCCTCTTCACAATGCTGTAAAATGCCATGTGTTCAGCGCTACACCTACCTTTGCCTCCTGGAAAAGGGTCAACATGAGCATAGCTTACAGGAAGCAAGCCGCTCACCAAAAGCACTGGAAAGTGTCCAATTAAGAACTTGACAGCGTTTCCTCTGGATCGTTAAGCACTTGAAAGTACTTTACCACTGGATGGAAGATTCAAGACTGAAGATTACACAGATATCCTATCCTGACACACTTGAAAGTGCTTTACCACTGGATTGAGGAGTCAAAAGTGAAGATTGCACAGACAACAACTTTCCTGAGAATCGTCAATCCTGACCAGCCCCAAAAACCTTTCAAGGGCCAGCCCCAAAAGACTTTCAAGTTGTTCTGAAACCCCGAAAGCATTTTAGCACTGGATTGAACATTCGAGATTGAAATCTTTTCTGAGAATCTTGTCCTCTCACTTTGGACCCAGAAATGGGGAGCTTGGAGAAATGCGTATAACTGCAGATGGGCGTACTTGGTTGCAGAAGTACGTACTGAACACCTAGAGTACTGGGACAACCCTGAAATTCTGATTCTTTTTGAACAAAAATATGGGATTCAAGATTCAAACAAAAATCTCTGATTCTGAGTCCCATAATTGTTAACAAAGTTTTAAAAATCCAGGGTTGCCCCAATACTCTGACATGGTCAGATAGCAGATGTTCATATCTTTGCTTGCGTTACACATCTATGCATATATATATATATATGTATAAATGTGATGGTTTTCCTTTGAAATGTTTCCCTTTTAAAGCTGACTGAAAGAAGCCACTCTGAAAAAAAAGGACGCAGCCCATGTCCCCCAAAGGGAGCTGGGTCAGTCAGTCCGTCTCAGGCCCGCGCCCTAAGAACCAAGCCTTGTTTGTGTAGAGGTACTGCACCACAAACGTGGCTGTTGCTTTGGATTCCTCCTGACAAGCAAAATGGATTCAACTACGCAAGATGCCCAGAAGCAGCGAGGAACTTCGCCAAAGTTGTAGCTACATCATGGGTGTTCGCGCGTTTTACAGGGTGAGCCCGCCATATTCGCAGCATGCGGGCAAGGACAGCTTCTCAAACTGCCACAGTCAAAAGCTGAGGGGCTGGCGGGGTTTTTGTCTGGATGCCACCGCATCAAGTACTTTCTGGCCGAATGTGCGCTGGCTTGACACTCCACATTCATACATTCACTTCTACGGACGGAGCGGCAAGCAATGAACCAAGTATATTCGAGCAGGCCCCAAGGTGAGAGTGTGTCCCTTTTTTGCGGGGATCCTTTCTGCGACAGGTTTCAAGCCAGAAACTGGGAAAGGACAACTCTCATTTTACGAGGTCCCCTAAGCCCTTTTCGGTGTCCACAGTGGGTGCGCGGAGAGCATGTCGAGCTCGGCCTAAAGATACGCTTTCGCTCGGCGTCCGACGCGTTCAAGTTGACCGCGAAGTCCTTGGCGGTGCTCCGGTGGAATTTGGAGGGGGCTTTCCTTCTGGCTGCAAAAGGACTTGCCAACCCTCGGCCTCATGTTTGTTTTACAAACGAGGGCATCCAGAACACCAAGCAAACAGAAAAAGGAAAAGAGCCCCATGTCCATTGCAGGGCACTTGACTTTCGTGCCTGCTCGATGGATTTGATTGCTCCCTCTGCGTCCAGGTCCGGGATGGCCTTCGAAGAAAATGCATCGACCGGGAAGGCAAACCAGGTGCTTGCGCTGAAAGGTTCCGGCCGGCGAGACGGGTGCGTCCCAATCCAGGTCCTCGTCGTCCTCGGGACCCAGCAAAAGGAAAAAACGGGCAGAAGAAAAAAGACAACAATGGAATATGGCCACGGGTCAAAAGCCCGTACCCAAAAATAGGTTCTAAAATGGGGTGACCCACAGCCAAATGACAACCCTGGAGCACAAGGGAACGCAACGGGGCCCAGCTCCCGTGCCTCCCATGCCCTGACCTCGGGCTCGTCCCATGGCGCTCGCGCACGGCGAGGCGCCTGGTTTTGCGACCGCTAGAAGCTCCCAAGAAACGGTCCCAGATCGCCCTTGCACAACTGGTTGTTCAATGCCTGCTTGATCTTCTTGCGAATTGGCATGTGTCGCAAATTGGCTGGTACCCCCAACATGGATCTCGGATTACCTTTTGAATTCCCTTAACCCCCTCCCAAGAAAATAAATACATAATAATAAAATAATAATAATAATAACACTAACAATAATAATAACAATAATAATAGTAATAATAATACTAATAATAATACTAATAATAATAGTAATAATAATACTAATAATAATAGTAATAATAATACTACTACTAATAATAATAACAATCAGAATAATAATAATAATAACACACACACACACACACTCTGACATATATATATATATATATGTGTGTGTGTGTGTGTATACCAAATACACACCTAAACGGGCCCCTTGACATGGAACCTGGGTTTGAATCAAGGAGGGCCGGAGCATCCTTTTAACGTCGCAATCGGCACGCAGCTCCACCCTTGAGGTGTCTCATGGACTCGTGGACTGCCATCCAGGGCCAACCCTGGCCCTCATGGCACTGCACGACTTCACGAGGCAAAGTGCCATGGGCATCTCCTAAGGAGCTTGCCCTGCGGCTCTCAAATCTTCACGTGATTTCACGTGGCGTAACTTTACATGGTACAAAGGCAAGCCTTTCATGGCCTGCTCCATGTTCTGCGCACTTTCCGTGGCCTTCACGCACTTCGGTCTTTCCAGTCTTTCCGGCCTCAGTGACGAGCCGCTCACGGCGGCCAGTGCTCCAATGCGCAGCGCCTGGATCGGGACTGGCCTCGGGCAGGGCGCATCCGTCCGATGGCACTCGCATCTCAAGGCCGAAACCAGTCGCGGGCTCTTCGCACCTTCGCGCCAAAACGCTTGCCACGTGTCTTCACATGCTTGAAGATGGCGCTGGCACACTGGTCGGTAACCAGGCTTCCTATTAATCACACACATACACACACCTTTTCACATGCACGCCGTGCTGAATAAAAAAAAGCGACCCAGGAACGATCCGAGTCGGTCGGACCCCAGCCTCCCTCCAGTTTGGCCAGCATCTGCGGGCGAAGGCCCGCCGCCTTGCCGTAGTCCAAGGCCCGCTGCCCGCTGGCCTCGGCTCGACCAACGCAGAAACCGCGAGGCGTCGTCGATCGGTCCCGGAGCTGGGGGCGCCGGCGTCCCGCACTCCCAGCACCGCCGGCTCGGCCTGCGAAACGTCTCTCAAATGCCAGGGGTTCTTCGGCGGGTTCACTTCTACTTTTGCTTTCCCCAAGTCAGAAGTTGATCAGTTTACCCGCGGTTTCTCCTAAAATCAAGGGGAAACGGCTCGGAAATGGCTCGGAAACCCTGGTTTCCAGTGGGTTTCCCTTGAAGACCAGCCAAAACGAGGCTCCTCCCCCGCTAAAAAAAAGAAGGAAGAAAAGGAACCAACATGGAGCTCCCCCTGCTGGGCCTTGGCAGCCAGCCAGTGCAGCACGTCCCCCAGGCCGGCCCGAGCCGCCAAGTGCAGGGCCGACTGCCCTCAGCCGTCCATCTCAAGACTTAAGGCGAAGGCGCCCATTTGTGGCCAAAGTTATCCCATCGTCCGGGTGTTGATTGTGGCTCATTTTCGCTAAGCGCCCAAATGGGCAAAGAAGACACACCCAATTATACTTGAAGCGCCACTGCGCCATTTCACCGATCTTCTGCCACCCTCTCAAGAAGTCCCAGTCTTTGCAATGGACATAGTGGACCGATGCACTGATTTTGACTTGAAGCACATACACACACACACACAATTGACTCCCCCCGCCTTTCCGATTCATCATGTTGACATCTGCTTGATGCTTGTGGAGTGTCATGCACATCAGCCTTGGCCACTTCATTGGCTTCTCTCTTCACTGCGTTTACGATTGCCAAGTCGCCGGGTTGGGGCGAAGAATATTGGCGTCTGAGCATAGCGATCAGTAACGTTGGGATTTGCATTTGCCTCCAGGAGTAGCTTGCTCAACGCGGCCTGCGCGTCAAGAAGCAACTCAGCAACTCGCAGATCGGACGCTTCTGCCCCCCCAGCCCCCAGCCCGCCCGGCCTCGCCATGAAAGGTTGCCAAATGGAGCAAGCTGACACCATGCACATCGATTTCACCTCCCAAAGGCTTCAATAGGCAAAGTGCGCACATGTCTCATGGCCTGGATCTGCATGAGCTCTCAGGAGAGTTGTCGCTAGGTCAATGGATCGCGCTTGCACGGCGGCTTGCAAGGGAGACCCCGGGCCTGGCCGCTTTCGCGGGAGCCGCAGCGGCTCGGCGATTTCTTTTCGTTTTTACGCGGGCGCCTTTCCAAGTATTGGGCGACTCCCCGCTCTGCAGCGCGGCCTGGCCGCGGGCCGGTTTGCAAAGGGCATCCTCTCCGTTTTGATATGACGCAATCCTTTTCATGAGCGAGACATAGGTCTGCTTGCAGACCACCTTGGCAAGCCACCTTGTAGCAATCCCCCTAAACGAAAGGGCGGGAGAACTCCTGACATGTCCCAATCAAAAGGAAATTTGTGGTTTGGATTGGTGGAGGTTTTGGTGTCCTTGAACTCTTGACACAGGCTATCAAGAGCACCTTCCGCCCGCCTCCACTGCCTGCATGCCTTGGCTGCGCTGCTTCTCGGAGCTGCCCTGCCGCAGCAGTGGCTGCCTGATCCAACTTTCCGGCACGCCGAGGTCAACATCTGGGGGCCAAATGATGTTCAGCTCTCCTTCTTTGCGACCCCCCCTTCCAACAAAAAAAACAAAGCACCCTCAGTTGCTGACCAAAAAAGAGCAAAAAACAAGTTTCGCGCACACAGATCTTCTAATTCTCTCGCGCTCTCTGGCGCTATCCCGCAGGTCCCTTCTGATTCGCCGCGCTGTCCGAGCTGCGCTGCTTTGAAGAGCTCCATCGGCGCAGGCGACCAGGCCTCCCACTTTTTGAAGCTCCTCAGGGACTCAAAAAAGTGTCCCGCATCTGCCCTTTGCCCTTGGCTCGACCGTTCTTCTTTTTTGTGCTAAGCAGCGGATCAGAATCATTGGAGCCATTCGATCTCATGGAATCGACCTGCGGGCTCAGCCAATGCTCATGCACCGGATGCGACTTCATCGCCTGCGCCTTCAGCCCTTCCAACTCGCTGCGCAATGACTGCACCTCCAGTTCAACCTGCAGAAACATGCGCGAAGCATGCTTCTTTTGGGCTCCAGACATTCGAATCGCCTGGCGTTTGAGCTCTCGGACCTCTGCTGATTCCCAAATCCGCTTCCTAAGCTCGTGGAAATTCTCGCGAAAGAGATTCACTTCTCGCCGTGCGAATGCCTGCCGCGGCGAATGCGGCCCGTGCACCAGCCAAGTTGCCCAAAGTCCCGGTCGGCGGCCTTGTGCTCTCGCTCCTTTACTTCCTTAGCTGCAAAACCTGAAGAGCTCTCAGGCTCTGAAAGGCTCTTTATGGTTCTTTGTTGTCTCTGGGCAGTCATGGCAACCTTGTGCCATGCTTCTGTCTCCTCTTCTCTCTTGCTGCTCTCCGACCTGAGCCAAGCATAGCCAAACTGAACTTTTCATGTCGCAGTGCCTCAGCTTGTCGTTTGCCTGGCCATCTATTCTGTCCTTCTCAACCTGGCAGACTTTTCGAATTGCTTGTCTGACAGGTGTGTCCCTTTGCCCTCCGAAAAGTGAGAAGAAGTGAGGACGCCGCGAACACCCAACTCCCCAAATGGGCACCTTGCGTGGAAAGTCGTGCGCTAATATGAAACACCTGGGACTTGGTCAGAGATCAAACAAATGACCGATGGCACCAGCCCTATTGAATGTCATGCGTGATGGTGCAACAGATCGCATGTGCTGTATGAAAGCATCTACGGAACATTTGACTTGAGCTTACACATTCAAGGATCCAATGCTGCTTTGTGCCAGTTACCATTCCTGATCTTTCTGCTTTTTGCAGCGGAAAGACAGCCGTGCGCAAAGCTTTCGTTTGCTGTCGGTTCATCGGTGGCCTTCTGTTGTGAGTCTGCCCCACTTGTGCTGTTCGGTTCAGTCGACCGTCTTTTTGTCGGGATCAGTGCCCTGTTTGTGGTCTTGTCATCTTTATCATGCTTCGCGCAGAACGGCGCCGCCAATGGCCGTGCTCCACTCCCATCGGCAAGCAGACCCGAGCTGGCGCCTGCGCTTCGGCCTTCTTCTGGGCAGCTGAGAGTTCCTCCTTGGCCTTCCAACCAAAATTGCCAGCTCAACACATTCGTCCTCAACATGGCTGTCGAAATCCCCGCTGCGCCTTCTGGAGGTCTTGATCCCTGGACGCCAACTGATCCTTCAACTGCTGCAGCTGCTGCTGGCTGGCCAAGCTCTTCTGCAGCTCCTCCCAGGGCCACCGGTCGACCGCCCCTAAAAAATAGTAAAAGGAGAATTCAAAGAATTATTCTTTCTACTATTTTTTCTCCAACAGCAACACAACAAACAGAAAACAAAATCCAGAACAACAAGCAAACAAAATAAATAATCACAACCAGCAACAAAAATATTTAATCACAGCATGCAACATTAAATAATTCAAACAAGCATACCAACAAAACAGCAACACTCTAAATCATCAAAGAACCCAAACTCAAAAACACACATCAACAAAAAACAAAGCAACATACCAACAAAAAATATCATAAGAGTATCAAGCAAAACAAAAACAAACAGTCAAAGCACGAAAAAATTGAAGAAGCATGCCAAGTCTAAACAACGCACTTTGAAAGAGATAAGCAAATTATAATAATTAAATCTTTACAAACGATAAATATATTACAGTTATAACATATAATATTTTACATGTGATAATCATAGTATGAGTAAACCTGTTTTTAGTGTTTCCAGTCGCCTATGTTGTTCCAAGAACTGCTCAAAATGTTTCTGATATTATACCAGATTAAGTTAACGTCATAATCTTTCATTGGTGCTCTTTGTTGTATTAAATAACGCAACACTGATACCAAAGTATAATAATTACAATGCATTGTTGTCATTCCTCCTCTTTCATTAATACTATTACCATTACGTTTAACGAGTTCTTCTTTCATTATGTTTTCGTAAATCTCTTTTATCCATTGATGATTTTGTTCTCCATACTCAGCGAACATATCTGGATATATATCTTCCATTGTTTTATCGTTTTTAATTATTTCAATGACTTGTTTATACGATGGATAGGGATTATCCTTAATGAAACTCAATATTATCTTTCTATCCTGTTCCAGCTCTTTTTCTGTCACTCCTAGCATTGGCATTTTTCCTATTATTATATTAAGTCTTTATTCCTTTAAGTCATTTTACATTATACTTATAACATATAAGGGTATACATGTTATTATTATAGTAATTTCAGTTCAGGATAGTAACTTAATTGATTGAGCTTTGCCTCTCATTTGGCGGGCATTTTGAGTGTCGCCCTCACAGGTAAATCCCTTTTGCTTCACAGGTAAATCCTTTTTACCTCACAGGTAAATCCCTTTTACCTCACGGGTAAATCCCTTTTACCTCACAGGTAAATCCCCTTTACCAAAGACTAAAACAGCATTGAGGGCGACCATTTGTCGTTGGATGAACCTAGAAGTTTCCAGTTTGAGTCCAAACCCAAATCCCTAATCCGTCAAACTCACCAAGATTTCACAAATTAATTCGCTAGGTATTTTGTATAAGTCTTCCTGCTTATGTATTGTTGGATTGTCTCCCCATGTTTCCTTGTTTCCACTTGGCAAACGTTGCGCAGTTTCAATATGTTTATTATTCCTGATGTTACCACAATCCTTTTTACATAATTCTCTAGGTTTCCAAGTTGTAATGATATTCCATAGCCTAGTCCTCTTTCTATAATTAAATCCATATTTACAATAATCAACATCTTTAAAATCAAACTCATCCATAAACTCCTGATGTTTTAATAATCCAGTTTGTGGATTTTCGATTACAAAATATTTAGGATTGAAATATTTGATAATCTCAATAGTTTTTAAGACAATACTATTTGCATATTCGATATTCCTAATTCCCCTAGTTTTTGCTACGCTGTATTCAGTGCATGGGGGACTACTCCAAATAAAATCAAAATGGTTTCTGTCAAACTGTTTGTAATCCCACTCCAAAATATCAGTGTTGATATCAGCATTTTTCAAGTCTAATGATATCACATTAAATCCAAGCGACTTTGCTATGGTTCCGACGCTTTTTGTTCCGCTAAATAATTCTAATAAATTCATTTATTAGAATTATTTAGATATTAATTATTCAAATAATACATATACTCCATCATCATGTTTTGTAATTTTATAAAACTCTAATGTTTGTTGCTTTGGTTGTTTGATTTTTCCTGTATTCAACATATCACAGTATTTCTTTTGCTTTGTAGGGTAGTCGCCCGATGGTCTTCCTATAGATTTTGCTTGAAATATCTTTTCGATTTTTTCTTTATCTTCATTGCGTTCAACTGGTTTCATTTTGTCATCAATGGATTTAATCATATCATTTAAGGTTTTAATATTTTTACCAATTAATGTTATCTTCTTCATTAAATCATTAATAGTATAATTCTCATTTTCAGACATTACTATATATTTATTTAGATAATTATTTATTTAATTATACGTTTTATTATATAATTTACCTGAATAATTTAATGTTATATATGTAAATAAATTATATTCTAAGAGTCTTTCATCAATTTTATTTTTCAATTTTATTAAACCTTCATCGTTACCTGTAATTTCAAAAAACTTCAACATTTTATCAAATTTATCTGGTTTAGTTATACCTTTCATAAAATATTTATTATTAAATTTAGCATCTAACCAATAAAAATATTCTATACTCAATTGTCTAGCAAAGTTTTTATCACCATCGAATAGGTCTTTAATTTCTTCATTGTCAAAAGTTATAATTCTATGGTCTTGCTCATCCATAGTTGGCATTCTGATTATATAAATAATTAGATATTTATTTATTTATTTAATTATATATATTTTAAAAGTGCAATTATGTTAAATCTACTCTTTAAATACTAATTTTTCATGATTTGTTTAACAGTTTCCTGAGTTTCGTTTTCATTATTATCGGTTGGTGTTGCTTGCCTACCAAATTTAAAAGTTATACTATGTACATCAGTTTCTAAGTTGATACTGCCTTTAGTTTTATCAATATTCATTTTCTTATCATTTTTACTTATTTTGAAACTTGTTGGAATACATGAACATTTACAACTTTTATTATTTTTTATTTGTAATTCATTCTTAAGTTCTAACATTCTTTTGCATGTAGGACAAACAACCTCAATAACTGATGTTTCTTTAACAATTTCTTCATCTGTTGATGAAACACTTAAACCTGTCTTATTCTTTTTGGTTTTCTTTTTTGGCATTTATATTAATATTTATATTTTTAATATATTGTATCAAAAACTTAATTAATTCTAAAATAAAATAACATATTTTTTTACATCTATTATCAGTTATTAGTACTTGTTCTATATTTTCTACTTCATCTATTATATTAATATAATTTGAATAACTCCTATTCATATAAATAATAAGATAATTTATTTTTCATTTCTGTCTTTCTTTCCTTGTACAACTTGATAGAACTTGATAAGTTCTATCAAGTTCTAGAACTCTAGGAAAAATGGTTCTTTTTCCTAGAATTGTACAGTTTTTTCATTGTATCGTCTTTATTCCATCTATATTCTACAAGTTTCTGATGATGTTTTGAATTTAGATGTTTAAATAAATATTTGCTATCATAAGTTTTACAACAATTGCAATGGATAACAGTCATATAATAATAAGATAAAATAATTATTTAGATTATTTAATCTTATTATTTTCATGCATGATAGAATATTCGAGGGCTCAGCACTTGGGGTTTTCATTGCACGCGAGAGAGATACAAACTAATTAGCTTCAATGCTTATTGATTGTAGCAATGGAAACCTGTTCCATTATGTTATTCACCGCCATTCATAACATAATGATGTTCCATTAATATTAAATAGAATATTTATTTAAACTATTTTCTTTAGTAAGTTTTACTGCAGTTGATATATCAACATCTATAATATTATTATTAATGATTTCTTGTACACTATTTATCATTTCATTTGTATATGTATTAGAATAATCTTTCATAAAATTTACTAATTTATTATAATTTAGGCTATCCTCGTTTTCGATTGATGATTTAGATATTATAATATTTTGTTTTTTAATTATCGATAAAAACGTTAAAATCGTATCATAATATAGTTGGCCAGTATCTGGAACTAAAACATCACCGAATTTAAATATATTCCGAATGCTAGTGACTTCACTTAGATTAATAGATGTTCTTGGCATTATGATTATATAAATATTTATATATTTTTTATTTATAAGTATTTATAATATTATTTTTATTATGCCTGATGTAAAACCAATTGATGAAATCAAATATGACTTTAAGCAAAGTAAGCATGAGGTCGTCCCTAAATTGCCGATGAGAGCTATGATTGTCGGTCCATCTGGAAGTGGAAAATCAACTTTACTTGTATCAATGATACTTGATATTTATAGAGGAGCATTTGAAAGAATTTTTATCTGGTCTCCATCTGTAAATTTAGATAGTATTTGGTTGCCTGTTAAAAAATACATTAAAGAAGGTTTGAAAGTAGATAATGATAAAGAACCGTGTTGGTGGGATGAGTTCAATGTTGAAGATTTAGAAAGAGTTATAGAAACTCAAAATAAAATAATTGAATACCAGAAAAAACAAGGAACGAAGAAATTATTTAATATTTTGGTAATTTTGGATGATGTATCTGATAATCCAGCAATAACAAGAAATAACAAATTGTTAAATTCTTTATTTTGTAGAGGTCGTCATAGTGGAATATCAACACTTGTAAGTCTTCAAAAATCATCAACCGTACCACCAATTATTAGGGTAAATATAAGTCATTTGTTTTATTATAAAGTTAGAAATTTTAAAGAGATAGAAATATTGCAAGATGAATTATCAGCAATTGTTAGAAGCGATAATTTACATGAAAGCAAGAAACTAATTTATAAAATATATGAGACTGCCACTGATGAACCGCATAGTTTTTTATATATTAACCTTTTAGAAAAGAATCCAGATAAAATGTTTATGAAAAAGTTTTCTCAATATTTGAAAATTACTAATTAAATAATTAAATAATTAAATAATTAAATAATTAAATATATATTACTATTATATGATATTTTATGATTTACCGATAGAAATTAAAAACCATGTATTATCTTATAATTTAGGTGATGTTAGATTATTAAAAATAAGAAATAGTAATATTATTAAAAATTATATTAATAA